ACCTGTTCATGGATCTTCACCAAATTTGGCATGAAGGTTCATTGGGTCCATGGGGTGATACAAACAAATTTTCAGTTTCGTGTTTTTTATGGTTTTTTTTTTCACCACTACTTCGCCCCCTGTTAATAGATCTTCACCAAATTTGGCATGAAGGTTTGTTGGGTCCATGGGGAGATACAAACAAATTTTCAGTTTCGTGTTTTTTATGGGTTTTTTTTCTTTTCACCACTACTTCGCCCCCTGTTAATAGATCTTCACCAAATTTGGCATGAAGGTTTGTTGGGTCCATGGGGGTGATACATGCGGTTTCGCATTTTGTGTTTTATAGTTTTTATGGGCGTTTTTTTTTTTTTACAATTACTTCTTATATAACTTCCATCCAGGGGACGGGTACTCCAGCTAGTATATATATAAGTATTACTGAAGTAGAGTTTTAAGTTTAAGTATTTGTAGCACGTGAATAGTAATATTGGGATCAAGCGAATCATTTTATTTTTGTGATATACAATAACTGTTGTTTAGATGAAAGCAAGAATCTGTACTTCTAATGATATATCTCTCTGAATTTAGTAGTTAACAAGTGTTATCAACATTCTGTAGAACCAACAATTCTGCTAATAACATTTCTCACGCAGAGACTTACTCCACTGTATATAAAGTAGCTTAGTGAGGGAGAAATGAGAAAGTTTAAGTAGAAGCATTTATAAAGTTATGGTTAAATATTAAAGAAAATTAACAAAAGTAGGTGTGCTTGATTATAAGATATATTTGTAATTTTGTGGTTAGTAAAAAATGTAACTAGTTAGCTTGAAAAATATGGAGTGTGTAGAAGTTTAAATTGCTATATAAGACATATACTTGATCCAAAGTGTAATAATATTTAAGTTATATTTAAATTTTATTCTTGTCGTAAATTCAAGTACGTCCCCCGTGACTGAAGCCTTTACTCACCTTTGGACACGTTATCAAAAGCTTGTGTGTGATAAGCATACTTTGGTTAAGAGTTCTTGTAGCAGTGCGTTTTTCATAAGGAATTAGTAATTTTAGTAAACTGATAAACAACAATTTGGTGAAGAAAGTTTGATTTTAAGACTGAATATTCGATTAATGCAAGAGACTGAAATGGAATAAGGTTGTTTTTTTATTATCGCTCTGATTGCAATATTCAACGAAACCATTAAAATGTTTTAGCTTTCTTAAATGTTCTCTAAGATACAAACTCACTAGTGGCTGTTACAGACCTCAACTACGACAGTTAGCATTGTCCTTAATCTAAGATGTAAACAAACGCTTCACTTTCCAACTCGCTGCAAACTGACCTATAATCATATTTCTTTGCTTCTTTTGAACAAAGCCAACGATGAACCAACAAACAGCTGGAAAGCCAGTTCTCGTCACATCTCGTTTTACTATTGGTAACTTTAAGTCATGTGACTACATAGCAGTAGCGGGACAACAGTAATGCTGGAAGTAACTATACCTCGGACTTTTGTATCATGTATTGTATGAAAAGAGCCTAGCAACAGCCAAACGAATTGTCCTAACGTGTTAAACTAAGCAACAGGTTCCAACCTGCAAACCAATAATGGAATCGGATAAGTCAAAGAACAACCTTTGACCGCGGGGAACGTTGATCTATTGTTCAGAAAATTTAGAAGTTAGAAGCCTGCTGATCAATGCTGCTTACTGTCGAACTTTTAACGAACGATTATTGGCTGAAACTTGGACTCTGTCTGATCACACTTATTTTCAGTGTCACTGTTACCTGCTTATATTTAAAACACTAGTTTTGTATATCAGAATATCCATCAGGTAATTACAGCGTTTTCGTTCTATCAATATCTGCCCCGAAATCGTGCCAGCCATTTTTCAAGATTTCACGTGCTGATCTGCTTGCTCGCCTGTGTTTCTCGCAAGTTTGTAACCTACTTAACTGGTAATATACAACCCTGAGATGGGAGTTGCTTGCAAAGCTGGAATATTAGTCACTTTAGGTCTATTACTGGCTATTGCCGGTCTTGTAGCCTATTTGATATTTCCTAATATATTACAGTGGCAAGTCAAAGAGGTAAGTTTAAAAACAAGGTTGTCCCATATTCAGTTTCATGAATTAATGTAGGCCTAAATAGGTTCTTATTTTTCTAGCACTAGTGACAGTAACAGTGCAGTTGCATTAGGGCCTAAATTTTAAGCTTGCTTTAAATTTCGGTTTTTAAAAGTGTACAATATTGCCACTAGTCAGTAAATAGCTAAGTCACTATCACAAGTATAAGTATCACCACTACTTAGTACTATTACTAATTTAATATCTAGGCTACCCACAGCTCATATTGTAACTTGTTAGTTGTATTGTAAGTTATAAAACAGTAGAACATAGTTGTACAGCGATATTGAAAAATAAAACTATTCTACTATTAGTATTACTAGTCTTTATACAAAGAAATTAACTATTTTTGATTTTTTAACTGCATGGTAAAGTTAACGCTATGTACTCAGCAAGAAAAACTTAATTTTGACACTTGTGGAAGATAATGGAACCGTGCTAACGCGATATACCATAATTAGCATTGACACTGAGCTTAGAACTTAGTATCATTTTACAAACGTAATTTAATAAAACCTTAAATTCAGTAGTTAATGACTTAATCATAAATTAATATTTAAGTTTAACCAGGGCATGACTAGTTATATTAATATTATTATGATATTTTTTCGTAGGACTAATATTTAAGTACTATTATTAATACGAAACGTTAGATTTATTTTATTACGTTAAAACAGATCAACGTTAGAACTTGTTTAATTGTTACTGTTACTACTAGTACTAGTGTAAACGTAAAGCCATACAATGGCTATGAAGGGTTGGTGCAGATTAAAACTGCCTTTAGAAAGCCGTTACGACAATATTCGATTGCACTTACACTGTTACAACTTGTAAAACCCGTAATATTTTATACGTATAAGTATTACCAAATTTATTTTATAAATACTTTGTTTTTTTTTCAATTATTTTTATTTTATTTTGCCCTTTTCTGCGTTTATCTTGACGCTGCCTAAATAATATACCATATCTTTGGTAATTTTTTCACCTAGTTTTGTCAATTAAGATATATTTATGTTTCTAATATTTTTTTTTCAATCCATTAAGTTGCTCTTTTGCTCATGCTAATTGTAAGAAATATATTACTCTGTGCTTCATAAATATCTTACTTGTAAGATACGTTTAAAATAATATTTTATGCAATGTTTGTTAAATATTCACGTATAGCCTATAGATCGATGTGTATATATATGTTGATCTTTTTTCTTTTAAAACTCAGTCTCTTCTTCAATGATGAAACCTAAATTCGGTATTTATACCTTCCAGTGCATAGCAAAATATACAGGCCCCGTTAATTAAGACATATTCGTTGTTTCATAATATAATTAATTGAATGGATATTAAATTGTTTAATCGTTTCCATGTAGTAAAAAAAAATTTTTTTGCTGGCAGTAGAATGTCTCCATCTTAGCGCAAAGACATATATTGGGATATATGCGCTCTGTCTATCGTAGGGAATTGAACCCCGGATTTTAAAGATGTAAGTCCTTAAACTTAACGTCGAACCACCAGGAAACTTTCTATCGTGTAAACTACCATTTTTTTTCTGTCGTTCTTGTGTATTAATCTCGGCCTCACGTGTTTTAATACGTCGTTTAAATTAATTTTAAATATTAAATCATTGAATGCTGTGTCTTACGTGTTGTTACTCGGGGGATATAATATATGAATTTTTGCATGACCAAGGTGTGCCCAGAGGTGGCGGCTATTTTATGTTATATATTTCCGTAGTAGAAAGTAATGGTACTTAGAATTTAGAAATTGTTTTTAATCTAATCTATGTAAATTGTAAATATTTAAGTGGGGGGAGTATCATAGTCTTGCCTGTAGAGAGGACCAAACACCTGCTAAGCACGTGCTCCTTTGCGTTTGGGTTCAAGGTTCGTTAGAGTTCAAGGTTTTTCGGGTCACGTATTTCAGCAGGGGCTCGTGATTTGAAATTTCCTAGGTACTGGGACTATGTGCTTATCATCATTATAATACAATACTTCCCGAAGTTTCTTTTTCTTGTCGCTAGAGTACCTACCTACCTACCTGAACGTTTGCGATTTGCTGTTATCAGGAATTAAAGCAGTCTACAGTTCTTGAAACAAAAGAACTTTTTATACGGTATGAAGTGCTTCTTCAGGGCCGTCTACTGATATGATAAAATATATTTTTTTCTGGTACTGACCCCCACGTTTGTCTTCGATTGTGACGTCTAACAATACATACCATGCAGGGGCTCAGAAGTTCCAAGGCCGTTCAACGATTGGATAAAATTTTCTTCGTTCCCTCCCTCCTTTTTTTTTTTTCTGGTGTGGTCAGTGTACACAGGGGGTTCCCAACTCGTGACCCACCTAAACAGCTAGACAATTTTTATAGGTCCATGGTGATTTTGGGGTGGGGGATACTGTTGTATTATATTCCAGTAAAGTCGAATGGTGTTCTTATATTAATGTTTTGTTTAGGGCCTTCATTTTATGAATAATTTTAACATACACATATGTTAATTATTTTACTTTGTATTGGGAACCACTGTGATAACACATACTTAACGAACAGTGTTCCCTCTAAGTTGCGCGGCCGCACAACAACCAATCAAATGCCGCGCACTTAATTATTTCAGCCGCGCACATTATCAGTTATGGCGAGGAGTCTCAACACGTTAACGGCCTTAATGACCCTGGTAGTCGAAAAGCCTAAAGCCCAAATAACCAACTGGTAGCATTGCAAAGCGGCCTAGTGATCCAATAGGGTTGATCATCTAAAAATACCCCTCCCCCCCAAACAAAACAAACAAAAAACTGGTAGCGCACATCCGCACATTGCCCTGATACTGGTGGTGCACATGAATAACTGCATTCCGCACATGGATTGAAAACATTTGAGGAACATGTTTGATGAAAGCTAAAGAGTGAACACGTGTTTACAAGTTTTTCGTTATAGAGCATGTAATAGTTGAAACTGACGTAATGATTCCTTATAAATTAGAACCTTCTATTTGCCACACAGAAAATAACATTATCGTATTCTTTATTTATAGGCTAAAAAAAAATTTCAATTACAATGGTGTATAACTTAACCCTTGCTTCTCCTCGTGATGTAAAGCAGTGGTACGCAAACTTTTTTTTTTATGGTGTCCCCTTTCTAAACTTGCAATTTGTTGCACCCAACCCCCCTCACCAAGTCATTTTCAACTGTTAGTTGTTGTTACTGTATTACTTAATAGTAGTAATATTTGCTCGGTAGCTTTTAAAACTTCGTTATATTTAAATTTCTACTTTTCAGATATAATTTATATGCATCTACGACCACAGTTACGCGGTTCCAAACCGACACCCCACCCTTTCTTGGGGGGGGGGGCACCTCAGCTGTAGAGTGTTGAAACCGAATATTCAGTTATTTGCGTCCAGTGTTTTCGACACTTGATTGCGATGTTTCTAGAGCCACGAGGTTTTCACTTTACTTTCAAAACACAATCTGTAAAGTAATCCTTGAGACACTGGACTTTAGTCCCTCGTTTTTGAAACCCTGCAAGTCGCTTGTTACTCGTGACTGAATAGAAATATCATAGTTGTGACATTTGCATTTCAAAATGGCCGACTCCGTGTTGTTTTTCATACAAATACATGACACCGAACCGATGGATATAGCTTTACAAATACCAGAGTAACACATAATAGCATTTATCGGCCTCCTTCACTTATTTAGGTTGATTTTTTTTTTCTCTCGCCCATTTTTGTTATATTTATTTGCTACCTGGATCTTCAGTTGATGATATTCATAGGCTTAACATTACTTCGTTATATGTACTTTAGTTAATTAATTAATTAATAACGCATTCTTATTATTTGCTACGTACATTCATAAAAGTATTTTTTCTCTTGTGTTAATAAAGTTTCAGTACTTTCCTCACTAAATTATAATATGTAACTATAAGGTAAAATTAATATATACACTACACTATATAATCGGACTAGCTTTCTTTAACTATTGTCTTTTGTTTTTTCATTTCTTCAATTTGCTGTGAGGAATATTTCGGTTTCTTTGGTTCATCTAGCAGTTCAACTACGTCCTACAGCCTGTTTAACAAGGTGTTTTATCTGTAGGCTTCGTGAACGCTCTATTCTTTGATAACATTTTTGTTTATACGCTTTGTGAACACTCTTTTGTTTAACAAGATGTTTTATTTGTACGCTTCGTGAAAGTTCTATTCTTTAATAAGGTGTTTTATTTGTACGCTTCGTGAAAGTTCTATTCTTTAATAAGGTGTTTTATTTGTACGCTTCGTGAACGTCCTATTCTTTAATAAGGTGTTTTATTTGTACGCTTCGTGAACGTCCTATTCTTTAATAACGTGTTTTATTTGTACGCTTCGTGAACGTCCTATTCTTTAATAACGTGTTTTAATTTGTACGCTTCGTGAAAGTTCTATTCTTTAATAAGGTGTTTTATTTGTACGCTTCGTGAACGTCCTATTCTTTAATAAGGTGTTTTATTTGTACGCTTCGTGAACGTCCTATTCTTTAATAACGTGTTTTATTTGTACGCTTCGTGAAAGTTCTATTCTTTAATAAGGTGTTTTATTTGTACGCTTCGTGAACGCCCTCCTGTTTGATAAGGGGTTTTATTTGTACGCTTCGTGAACACCCTCCTGTTTGATAAGATGTTTAATTTGTACGCTTCGTGAACGCCCTCCTGTTTGAT